CTTCCACATGTATTCACCCTCCTCCACCTACATCCACTCCCTCCAGATCCTCCTTCCATCCATCCATCCATGCATCCAGACAGACACAGTTTGATATATGAAATGTGAAAAAATGGTTGTAAAAACGTTGTTGATAATGATGGTGTTGCCTTATTCACATGTCATTGGGTCACTTCAACATCATATATCTCTTGTTATCTAAAGTAAGTGACCGACTTAATTATCTTATGACTCAAATGACCTTGTAACGTTTTTGAACACACACAGACACACACACTACTACCACCACTACTTTGCTGTCACTTGGAATCTAGTATGACGATCATCCAGCTATGATACAATGATATGAGTTATTGAGGATGTCGCCCATGTTGGTGAGAGTGTTGAGGTGGCTAAAGAGGCCGATACGGAACCGGCAGAGTCGTTCACAGATGTTGCACATGGCAGCAAAGATCATGTCAGTGGTGCCACGTGATGGTCTGAAGCCACATTAAGATACTGGGAGGAAGTCTTCCGCCTCAGAAAGAAGTCTGCTTAGGAGGACTTGGGCGATAATCTTGTCAGCTACGGACAGCACGAGATCCCACGGGAGTTGCCACAGTCTGACCGGTCTCCCTTGTTCTTATAAATACTGACGATGGAGGCGTCTTTAAGAGCTTGGGATTTCCTCGTTTTCCTATATACTATCCAGGAGAGAATGGAGATGGCTGGTAAGCAGAGGTCCTCTGCTTCACACACACACACACACACACACACACACACACACACACACACACACACACACAGAAAACCATTATCACTATAGACAAAAAGAATCGGTCAGTTTCCAGTGGAAAATTACTCATTCTAAAAAAGACAGGTAACTTTTTGGTAAGATGCTCCTGATAGCTCAGAGTCGACACTTGAACATGAAGTCAGTATTTTCACAGTCCCTTTGCCCTTGACTCTGGTCGATGGCTACAGGTGAATATTTTCCAAGGAAGACCACCAACGCTGTACTGGCGACATACCTAAGAAAGTTGCCGCCCCTTACAGAGACCAAACCAAAGGATTCTGCAACTGTGATTGACGGGATGAGTTTGGCACAGAAGGTTGAAACGGTCACGATATATTTGGAGGTGTTACCTCTGCTATTCACACCATGGTTCTCGGGGAGGTATGACAGAATTCGAGAAGTGATGTCGTATTTGACACCTACCGAGTAATGTCGACAAAGAACATTGAGGGAATTCTGAGGGTGAGAAGCTTGGGCTACAATAGAAGAACGTATCTGAAGCTCATTTTGTGAAACAATGGGAAAAGTTCCTCCAAGAAGTCAACAGCAAAACCAGCCTGATCCAGTTCGTAGTGAATGAGTGGAAGAAGTATAATTCATGTTGACCGAATCCGTCAACATGAATTTGAGTAATGGTATGTAAAAACTGGATAATTTCGTAATTAAGAAGATTTGTAACCAGGTGAGAAGGCTGGGTCAGCTTACACTCTGACCTGACTACCGACTGCTGCGGTGCTTTTTGAAGATTAGTAGGGTCATTACATAATACCTGACCATTGTGGACTTGATCTCACCCTCCTCTGTATATATATATATATATATATATATATATATATATATATATATATATATATATATATATATATATATATATATATATATATATATATATATATATATATATATATATATATATTAAAACTTCTCTCTTAGTCTGTACTCATCCCTGAAGATGTGAATACATGAAAGCTTTTAGAACTTCCCGTGGTTTTCTTTTCTTTCCATGTGGTTATCAGCATATACCTGGATCACGTGCGCACTCACAGGTGATTTATTTAGTATATATATATATATATATATATATATATATATATATATATATATATATATATATATATATAAAACAAACAAGTATGTCTGTGTGTTTGTTTGTTTGTGTGTGTGTCGCACGAGAATCTCGGAAACTAATTTACCGATCTGTAGTGATGATGGTTGGTGTTATATGTAGTGATGATCGATGGTGTTATATGTAGTGATGATGGATGGTGTTATATGTAGTGATGATGGATGATGTTATATGTAGTGATGATGGATGTTGTTAGATGTAGTGATGATGGGTGGTGTTATATGTAGTGATGATGGATGGTACTATATGTAGTGATGATGGATGGTGTTATATGTAGTGATGATGGATGATGTTATATGTAGTGATGATGGGTGGTGTTATATGTAGTGGTGATGGATGGTGTTATATGTAGTGATAATGGATGATGTTATATGTAGCGATGATGGGTGGTGTTATATGTAGTGATGATTCGACAATAAAATAATAACAGTTTAATGCTAAAAAAATATACTTTGCTGTACCGTTGTAGTGGAACTTACATACTCCGTTAATGAACTATTGATGGAAGAAGAAGTTTTGGGGACTGAACAGCACGCTCAACTTTTAAACTGCCTCTCAACCTCGCTCACAATGAGAATCCAGTGTGCAACATCAAAAAAGGATCGGCAAAGGCAAAACTCTTAGAAAAATGCAGCCTCATAGTCTGGGATGAATGCACTATATCTCACAAGTTAGCGTTTGAAGCATTGGACAGGACCTTGCAAGACATACGAGAAAATGACCAGCTCATGGGTGGCATTACAATGGGCATTGCTGGAGACTTTCGCCAGACCCTACCTGTCATTCCTCGAAGCACTCCAGCTGATGAACTGAATGCGTGCCTCAAGGCATCATACCTTTGGAGAAGTGTTCAGACACTCACCCTATCCACAAACATGAGAGTACATCTACAAGGAGATCAGGATGCTGGACGGTTTGCAAACCTTCTATTACAGATTGGGAATGGAACTTTCCCTTTTGATTCAGAAGGACAAATAATCATTCCTCAAGGATTTGGAAATGTTGTAAAGTCCTCAACTGAGCTCACTAACATGGTCTACCCAAACATTATCCACCACTACAAAGATCACAAGTGGCTGCGTGAACACGCAATTCTGGCACCAAAGAATGAAGCAGTGGCTGAAATCAACATGACTCTATTCAGACAGCTTCCAGGCAGTGAGACCTCATTCAAGTCTGTTGATACAGTAATCGACCAGGACCTAGCAGTCCAGTACCCTGCAGAATTCCCTAATTCTTTGGAGCCCGCTGGAATGCCTTCTCACCACCTCACTCTCAGGATTGGAACTCCTATAATGCTCTTAAGAAATCTTGAACCACCAAGGCTCTGCAATGGCACAAGACTGGTGGTGAAGAACATGATGCCACATGTACTGGAAGCTACAATACTGACAGGAAAAGCGAAAGGAGAGGACGTGTTTATACCAAGGATACCTCTCATCACCACTGACCTGCCATTTGAGTTCAAGCGACTTCAATTCCCGGTTAAAGTGAGCTTTGCCATGACCATTTACAAAAGCCAGGGACAGTCCCTAAAGATGGTTGGCCTAAACCTGGTGTTTCCTTGCTTCTCTCATGGACAGTTCTATGTTGGATGCTCCAGAGTGGGAACTGGCAAAAATCTGTACATACTTGCTGCTAATGGCAAAACCAAAAATGTGGTTTACCTTAATGCACTACAGTGAGACAATGTGGACCCGCTATTGTGTATTTTCAAATTGGCATCACTTGTTCGCGGAGGTTAATAGCTGGCAAAAAAAAACGTGTATATGGCGTGTATATAACATGTATAAAACGCGTATAAAACTCAGTGTGGTAATTCTATTGTGTTCTTGTTTTTTTGCGTCTGAAGTTAAATGGACTGGAAAGACACTTGTTTATTTGCCGTATTGACACATATTCATATAAAAACATAATCATGTAATTTCGGGAAAAAATTAATTCGACCCGTAAATAATCAGTTTGATTAATTGGGGAAAAAATAAGAGAATCCGCCATACTGTATCTATATACTGTATATATGTAAAAAACAAAGAAGTCTGTCTGTCTGTCTGTCTGCACGAGAATCTCGGAAACTACTTTACCGATCTGGACCAAACTTGGCATGGATAGCAAGTGTCATGTGGGGATCTCAAAAAAAAGAAAAAAGAAACTCCAATCAACCAGATCCAATACACCCAACCCGACCCAACCCGACCCGACCCGAACCGACGTAGGTGGTCAGAGTAGCGTTTTACCAAATCTGGCTTCGAAACACGAGGATCCATATATATTTCATTAGCCCAATAAAGCACACGGACTTCTACATACAATCAACGCCTCAACCCGCCAGGATTCAAACCCACGGCCCACGAGCCCATGACTGTGACAGGGGATATATGGATCCTCGTGTTTCGAAGCCGGATTTGGTAAAACGTTACTCTGACCACCTACGTGATACGGTTAGTCCCCATTAAAGGTTCACGGTGCCATAAGCTCGTTGAACAGGCTTTGTGTGAAATGTAACAAAGTCTAGGACTGCTTTTAGTATCCTGTTGGTCCAGAGGTAGCGTTCCCTGGTCACAGTCATGGGCTCGTGGGCCGTGGGTTCGAATCCTGGCAGGTTGAGGTGTTGATTGTATGTAGAAGTCAGCGTGCTTTATTGGGCTAATGAAATATATATATATATATATATATATATATATATATATATATATATATATATATATATATATATATATATATATATATATATATATATATATATAGTAAATCACTGTAGGTGTCCAGATTCACTCTACCTTAAATAGCACACAACCGTTGTGTGCTATTTAAAGATTAGTTGGGTCATTACCTAATACCTGACCATTGTGGACCTGGTCTCACCCTCCTCTGTATATATACACCTTGATTTGTATTACTCTCTCTAGTCTGTACTCACCCCTGAAGATGTGAATTACACGAAAGCGCTTGGGAACTTCGTGTTTTCTTCTTTCCTTGTGGTTATCAGCATCTATATATCTATATATTAGCTTATGAAATATCACAGATAAGGACCAGTGTGATAAGATGCGAGGTGAAGCTTTATCCAGGTCCTCTCGCACACAACTGGTTCTAAATCACAACTGGCAACGTGTTACCCCTGCTGGCTCCTAGGCGTGTGTGATGGTGTACAGTGGGCGTCTGTGGCCTGAACTGGGGCGTTTGTGGCTTGTATAAGGGGCATGTGTGGCCTGTAAAAGGGACGTGTGTGGCCTGTGTGGGGGCGTGTGTGTGGACCTATACTGAAGACCCATAAACCTATCCTACTACCGGCTGAAACAATCAAAGGTAAGATTATATTGTGTGATCTGACACTATTTTCCTTATGCCACTGATGACACCTGCTGCTCTCAAGGCCTGACAAACTGACAATTAACATAGGCCTATCTTGACACAAAGGTATACCTTGATACATAGGCCTACCATCACTCATAGGCTTCCACCAGGGGTCCACAACTCTCATATTTCCGGCCGCATGCTGCCACATAATTTATATTTGCAGCCGGCATAATGGCATCCAAAATATGTGATGAGCGCCTGGGCCCACGAGGCAGAGTCGTTCACAGATGCTCACATGTGGAGGGCTGCATCTAGTGTGGGAGTGACGGCTGCAGCGTCTTTCCGGCGTTGGCGCTTGTCTACCTTGGTATACAGTCGGGCTAACTCGAAAGTATTGACACCTTCTAGTGTGGTGCTCCTCCAAGCGTTACGGTGTGGAGTAATCGTCTCCCAGGTGAAGGGGTCGATTTGGCACTTTTTTAGGTTTGTCTTAAGACAATCCTCATACCTTTTCAATTGCCCGCCATCGTCACGTTTACTATTCGTTAGGTGACTGTATAGGGGCTGCTTTGGCAATCTACTGTCGTTCATGCGGGTAACATGACCAGTCCAGCGTAGTTGTTCATAGATGATTGTAGCCTCGATGCACCTTCAGTTGGTGTCAGCGAAAATACTGGCATTTCTTTTTTTGTCTTCCCAGCGAAATGGGAGGATAGAACGTAGACTACGTTGGTGAAAGTTTTCCAGTGCCTTGAGGACTCACTAATGGCTGTCATGTTGATGTTATACCTAGCCAGCTCTTTTGCCAAAGGGCATTTCTTCTTGCAGGACGCTCATTTGTGCCAGTATCCAGAAGGGTTCTGACATTCCATGCAGCGACCGTAAGTGGTTGTATAGTTTTTTGATTTGTTTTTTCTGTGATTATGATTGTGTTTTCGACCGCATAAGGATGGCCTCCCTGGGTGCGGTTGCTCAGTCAGGCTGATTCTTTAGGCAGGCTATGTTTAGGGCACCTTTTCTTGCACCCTCCCCATGTGGGGTAAGCAGAGTGGCTTCTCTAAAGAGCTGCTCTGTCGCACAGACAGGACCGGATTGCACTGCTGCCTAGATCCCAGTGCATAAATGACCATCTTATCTATGCCGCCCATGTGCAGAGTTGTGACTCGAGACTCGCGGCAGTCATCTCTGCCTGTCCCCGTCGCCACCCGTCCGTCGTCAAAGGACTTTTGGGGGTATCGGGGTTTAGATGATGATGAGAGGTATGATAAGCTGGATGATGGCTGCGTGTGAGTTGCTTTACTTAGTGAGGCAGGATTGCAGGCTGCAACCACACTTCTTGGCTCTCCCTTTTCCTGATCCAGTGGTGCAAGTGTTGCAACGATTGGGGAAAGGGAGAGTTGCAATGGACTGCCGATAACCCAGTTTGTTGGCTTTCACCCTAATAGCCTGTCTATCATGCATTGCCTTCATCCACCTGTGTAGTCGTTGGGTAACCATGTTGGTCACCTCTTCCGCCTATACCACCATTGGGGTCTTGTTGGAGCTCTGTAAGCATGTCTGCCTGATACGGGGCTCCACCGCAGATTTTTCGTTCGGGGTTTACGCCTGTAGCCTTGTACCTAAAATTTTAATCCGCAAGGCAGCGGGGCAGTGGTTGGTAGGCACCAGGACGTGTCCACATGGTAGTGGGCCTAGGTTCCGTCCCTCTGGGGCTCACTGCTGCTCCAAGATCCCCTGTTGGTTTCGACTGGGCCCACGAAGCACCCAGTTACCGTGTGTTGCCATAAGGAGGCACAGCAGGAATCGTGATGGTACTGGCAGGGGAACACTTATGCAAGTTGCTTCCCTGTTCACCACGAGGGCTAGCCAGCAGCGGTAGCTGAAAGCGAGAAGGAGCAAGCAGTGCTTGCACCTTAACACAAACATAATGCTACAACGCTAGATGCATTACACCACCCTGTGCACATACACATCTCACACACACACACTTACGATACTGTCACAGTTAAAATATGTGGAAGGTAGACTCTTACGACCAACCATGCAGCTGCCGTCTATCTGACACCGATAATATGTTGTGTTGGACCACTCTCTACCCTCTCTCCCTTCCCCCTCCCTTCTCTCTACTTATTATCTCTCCGCATCTTCCCCCTCCTCCCCTTCTTCCCGCATCCTCCTCCTTTCCCTTCCTCTACATTCTTCCCCCTTTCTTCTCCGTTCTTTTTATCTACTCTCTCCCTCTCTCTTACCCCATCCTCTCCCTCCCCCCTTCCCATACAGTACCTCCTCCTTTCCCCCACTTCTACCTTCTTCTCGCTCCTGCCAACTCTCTTTACCCTCATATAAGGTCATTTTAATTGCTAATTTATTGTGCAGGAGAGAGAGAGAGAGAGAGAGAGAGAGAGAGAGAGAGAGAGAGAGAGTTGAAACTTTACAAATAATCACGTAACTGCGGTATAGCTAATGTGCACATAATCTATCAACCACTATGTAACCATTACGCCCAATTCCCCAACTGAAGATAAGATTATCTGACCATTAGATACATCAATATTTCAGCTGAGTGATGGCTATATGTGTTCAGATATGTAATATATGTCGTAATTCGGCTATTAACGTACACATTACATAGAGGAATTTAATGTACCTAGTGGAGACATATTTCCTTCTGTACATAGTTGAAGTAATATGATTAATAATGTGCACACAAAGTACAATTCAAGTACACATTTCAGTAAGTTCAGCTTGTCTTTGTGCAACTAACATTATATTAATAAAGACATTTATGTACTTTCCCCGCAGAGTATAATTTAAATATATACAGGATATGTAAAATAACTCTTGTCAAGTTCACGAGACGTCACCACTAACACTGCCCGTTATATTGTCACCCTTCTGTCATGTCACATATATATGACACTACACCTTATCACCTCCTGTCACTCTACTGTCATTTCATAACGGTTTGTCACCACACTGTCATAAGATATAAGGTAATAGTATGCCATCTGTCACTGCGTTACTGCACCATAAAGCGTGATATGAGACCAACTCCTGAAAAGATTCGAACCCTATTAAATGTTTCGATGTACTGTATATCAAGGATCTTAATTTCCTTTCGAAGGTTGAGTTCTCAAGGACTGAAATATCCTTTCAGAGATTCTAATCCTAAGACATCAAGGGTTCAAGCACCATTTAAAGATTTGAATTCCATCAAGGATTCAAATCCAAACCAGGCAAGGATTCGAACACTTTAAAAAATTCGAATCCCAAAACAAGGAGGGTTCGAACACCCTTCACAATATTCGACTAACATCAAGGATACGAATCGTCCCAAGACACAGAGTTGAAATGAAGCGTTCATTAATTTTAACCGAAATTAGGCTTAAAGTTAATTAGTAGCTCTAAGCAATTAATCTATAGCCGATTACTAGTTATACATTCAATTAATTGAAACGTCAAATTATGATCTACAGTATATTATTGAAGTAATTTATAATGTTATTGAATATTTTCTTAGAACCTCCGAGAAAAAGTAGTTCCCTACAGTATACAGTCAAGTAACGATGAAAGACAATTATTAATTTAAGTATACAGTTAATTAGTGATTGAAAAAGTATACAGAATACAGGTAAATACAGTTATGTGATAATAAAGCCATTGAAAATACAAGATACAGTTAATAATTAGTAAATACGATAATTAATACAGTATACAATTAACTAATAATCAAAATCGTTTAATAATACAGTATAAGTTAATTATGTCTTGTAGTATCTCAGGTCACTTAACAAACTTCAGGAATTAATCACCTTTTCTGATGATGCGTTAATTATCTTATTCGTGTAGTTAACTAGTTGTCTGTAGTTTATGGTTGTTTGGTGGAGAGAGAGAGAGAGAGAGAGAGAGAGAGAGAGAGAGAGAGAGAGAGAGAGAGAGGATTAACACACGTTACCACATATACTTATTTTTATTAGTAGTATTTCTTGTGTGGTGTCGGGTTAGCTCACAACATTAATATTTACACCCTCTGGATCGAGTCTCATATACAGGCGTTGTGTTGTAAGGTGACACGATAGGCAAGAATTTATGGATTGTTATCGCATATGTGGGAAGACTGTACTATAAACGTTCTTCTGACACACACACACACACACACACACACATGCACACGCACACACACACACACACACACACACATGCCCGTCACGCCTGGATGTTCAAGTCCCAGCAGATGTGGAAGCATTATGGGTACGTGTCGTGCTGCGGGCACACCCACGCAACACTGCCTCCATTATAATCTGTGTGGCATACCATCCGCCTCGATCACCCACCAGAGACACTCTTATCAATCATCTCATCACCACCTCAGACCACCTCAGAGTTAGGTACCCATGTGCCAAGTTAGTATTATGTGGGGATTTAAATGAAATTGACACCACTGATATCCAGGACCAGCTATCACTATCACAAGTTGTGACCTTCCCCACACACGGTCAAAACACCCTTGACCTTATCTTAACTGACTTAGCGGACCAGTACCAACCTCCTCAACCACTGCCTCCTATCGGGTGTAGCACACACTTATCAGTGCTCTGGTCCCCTGCTGCCACTCCCACTCAAGTACAGAGACCCTACATCAAGACCTACAGGCCGATTACTGACTCTGCAATACGCCTCTTTGGGCAGTGGATAGTTCACTATCCCTGGACTGAAGTACTTAGCGTGGATGACGTGGAAACCAAATGGATAAATTATACCAACACCACCACGGAAGCTCACCACCACTTCTTCCCCGAGAAGTCCGTCAGATCTCACCCAGCTGACTTGCCCTGGATCACACCTCGGATCAAAAGACTTATGCAACAGAGAGACAGAGCCTTTCATCTCAATGACCACATCCGCTACAGGTCACTTCGCAACCGAGTCATCCGCGAAATACGCACTGCAAAGAAGTCCCACTACCCAACCAAATTACAACACCTGAAGCAGACCAACATCAGTCAATG